TGAAATCTTACCCTGCTAAGGGAGGGAGGGACGGAGCCCTAATGTAGAAATTATTTTTCCCAGGAAAAATAATTTTAAAAAATGTGGGGCTGGAGAACTGGCTCAGCAGTTGAGAGCATTAGCTGCTCTTCCAGAGGACCTGGGTTCAATTCCCAGCATCCACATGGCAGTTTACAACCATCTGTAATTCCAGTCCCATGGATTTGATACCTCTTCAGGCACCAGGCATGTATGTGGTATAGACATACATACAGGCAAAACACCCATACAAATAATATAAAAATAAATCTTAAAAAAAATTTACTGTTCTCTACCCACAGCTTCACAGAAGCCAGGAGCCAATCCGGTCTACAGAGAGCACATCTAGGTGGCACCTTTAGCAGTATGCATGCCAATGGTCTGGAAACTATATATTGTAAGTGTGCTCTCAACCCAAAGGCAAGGAAAATATGGCACAGAGGACTGAGGCACAATGGACAGAATGGAACTTCAGTAAACAATGGCTTCAGAAAGCAGCAAGACTTGGCACGGTTTATTCCTGGTTACTTGCTAGCTACCTGTGCACACAATGTCACCATGCTATGCATCAGACCCTGTTGTGACAGCTTCCAGATTCTGAAGCATGATGCTCCAGCACACAGCTCAGATGGGGCTCAAATGATGACTAAAGTGCACATAGGCTGAATAGGAAAGCAACAGTCTTAGAGCTCAATGTGAGGGCAAAGGACAATCACTTCAGAGCCATACAGTCACACCACTCCGTGGCAGCAAGCGGACCTGCTGTAACTGCAAGACACTACTAGGCTTCCACTTGCTGTTGGAGATCTGGCACTGAGAAGGTCATTAAAATAGAGTTTGAGGGTGTCTAAAAGCCCACATCATGCACTTCACTGTGAACGGGACAATCACTCTGACCATGAACTGGAGTACTCCCACCTAGATAGAAATAGAGGGAGCAATGTGTACAGACAGTGGACTCAGGGAGAAGATCAGCTGTCCTGGAAAAAAATGTTATCTCAGTCCTGGGTATCCTGAAGACACAATCTACTCTAGCTCTTTAGAATGCTGGGGGCTTTTGGCAGCAGTGTGCAGTGTCAGGGTTAAAAGAGAAATCAAGCGAAGCCATCTACTCCTCACGTGATACCCACAGGACAAACTGCCCCAATGTCTGACCTTTGAACTGCAATGACTTGCAAGAGCTTAACACAGACAAGCAGTCAAGTGGAAGCAAAGCCTGTCTCAGGCAAGAGCTTACTAGCAATTTTATTAGTAGTCTGTGGAGATTGCTGTAAGCCTGCAGAGGTCAAACCCTAGGGCACACACAGCCAAAACCAGGTGGACAGCTCTGGAACTATTCAGACATCCACCAAAATCAAGAACAGAACCTCAACGCCCCCTCCCCCCCAACACACACACACACACAGCACACCACTTCGGACCTCCTTTAAGAGAAAAACAATCCCATGAAGTAGTTCTGGCTTCCAGAACAGATACCAGGGTCACTGGACTGTGCCCCGTTACACCTGTAACAGGACAGACTCACAGCCAACTCCACCTGCCATTGTAACCATAGTACCTAGAGGGCCCAGCAGCTATGTAGCCTGCTCAGCAGTCCCCCAGGTGGCAGTCCATCCCAAGAATGAAGTCCTTTGGGATAGCATGTGCTGACAGAGTGCCAAGGAGTATGTGTTAATGTTGGGCATTCAGGAGTTTACCATGAAGAATGATCTCAACTAAGCATCAATCCAAACCCCTATCCCCTGATGAACAGATAAACCATGGCCCATTCACATGATGAATAAATATTAATCAGTCATAAAAAAGCGGTATGCACACTCTCACAAGTGAAGCCTTTAAAAGCATGCCAAGTGAAAGAAGCCCATCACAAAAGGGCCAGTATCTGTGCTTCCGTTTACATGGTATGACCACAGAAGACAAATCCATGGAGATAGAAATTTGACCATGAGTGTCTGTTGAAGGACTGGTAGGGAGAATGGGAGTGATGGCTGAGAGGAATTGGTGTCTTTAAAGAGTAATCAGATGATCTCAAGTTCCACCATGTTAATGGCCACAAAGCACTGCATAATACCTCTGGCCAGAACAATTCAGAGTGAACGCTCTCTTGCACCAGCTCCCTGCCACCAACTTGAACAAGTGTACAGGCAGCCTTGAACTCCAGATCCTCCTTCCTCAGCCTCCTGAGTGCTAAGATTGATTATAGGTCAGTATCTCATTGCCCAGTCAAAGGTCTTGATTTAACATGCTTCCAAAATCAAGGCTTTCTATTTAAACCAAATGCAAACCCTGTTCTCACCATAGCACCCTGAGACCACGTCTAAGGGACAGAAAGCATTGGCAGCATTGAGGAGACTAAGTCCTGCAGTCCCTCACCCTCCATACCAGTGTGCTCAATACAACAGATGGTTTTCTCAAGTAAGCCATGCCTATGTAATGGCATCCACAGCGGGGCCTGGTGCATACCTAGCTTCTCAGTTCTCAGGAGGCTGAGGCAGGAGGATAGTGACTCGCAGCCCAGAGTGAGCAACACAGAGAGATTCTGGTCTTTAAAACAAATAAACCACACTTTTAAACTCCTAGAATTACTCAAAACATTGTGCATTTTTTAAATAAAATGAAAAGTGAGGGCTTACAGAACTGACTACAAATAATGAGCTTTTCAAAAAGGTAAGCGAAATAAAATTTTAAAGCAGACAAAGACATCTGAAAGCAACTCCCCCCATCTTTGTTTCTGAGGGCACAGCCTCAAGATCAAGTGTACCTCTGAGGAAGGAATGCACGGGCTGCCTGCTCCTGAGGACAGTGAGGCCCAGGTCCAGTCCAGGGCTAAGCAGGCACTCAGCTGGACTTCATCCTCCAAGGATCCCCCTCCAAGCACACCATTAGGCTTCAATTTCAGAGCTGCCAGTGAGCCCGAAGTCCAGCTAGGGGAGCTAAAGTCCCTTTGGGAGTGACTTAGAGCCAGGGAGAAGAAAAAGAAAAAGGTCTGTTTGGACCTAGGCAAACATGACCCAGCCTTCATTGCTGTGCCAAGGGTCCCCAAGGGTCAAACAGTGTCCCTAAATTTCCAAAGAGGACCCCAACCCCGTCAAGCCCACATAATTCCTATAACAACCACAATGCCCCGGGCAAGACATTTAAGATATTTAAGTCAGACAATACACACCTCTGCAAAATGCACTGAAAAGCCGGCATGGTCAGGAAGGCCACACTGATGGCACAGTTGCCAGCTGCCCTGTCACCTCTGGAGTACTTTAGCCCAGCCTTCTACTGCACAGGAGACAAAGGCTGAGGTTATACAGCTGGTGACTAGTGCCCTGACCCTGGGGACTAGATTAACTCCTTCACCTCTCAATAGACTTTTGACTGAGACAAAGGCTATCTTATACAAGATGTTCTGAGGGCTGGCTGGAGTGGGGTGGAGCCTGTCAGTGGCAGAGCACCTGCCTGGCATGCACAAGGTTCTAGGCTTCATCTCCAACACTGTTTGGGTGGGAAAGGACCCAAGACATTTGTTCTAGACACTTCTATTCTGAACTGACTGCCCTACTAAACTAAGAGGCACCACCTTTTACACAGAGTGATCCCCTGGATGTACTACTGTAAGCTTCACTCACACAGTGGTCTGGCTGAAGCAAAAATGGGGAATGGCAAGTGCATGGTCTTGAACAAAACGAATTGCAGGTGAAGAGACCACAGCAACCTAGACTCCCCAGACAGGTGACAGTTCCTTGGCTTGGGGAGCTGAAATTTCCTTGGGCCCTGCCTTTCTTGTTGACAGATACCCAGCACACAATAGAGAAGTGAGGTGGGAAACTGTCTATGGAGGGTAGGGGGGAGATGGGGGGGAGCAAAAACCAAACAGAAAACCACCAACTCAGAGGCAAATGTCACTGGAAAGATAAGACACCACAGAAACCCATCCAGGAACCACAACCACTTCTTAGAGGAAGATATTAAAAAGGAGAAGCCACAAGTCAAGGTTCAAAGAGAGCTGAAAGAAGACAAAAAGAGGCTTGCTTTCCTGACCATCCCATCTTGTTCACCTTGGGCAAGGGAAGAGTGTTAGAGCTTTGACTTCAAAAGAACTCAAAGGCTGCAGAGAAGGTGGGCAGGAGGCCCAACTGTGGCCTCCTACTGCCAAGGACACCCTGTGGTACCTCAATGGCCCCCAGGCACTGGAGAGCCTTTCTCTTACAGCAAACATGGGCTCCCGGATCCAAAGCTGCTAAAGGCCTCCAAAGGTCCAAACACCCACCGACTCCGTCATCCACAACTATGGGCTACGGGCTCAGAGGGCCGGAGGGGCATGAGTTCCTTCAGCTCTTCAGCATGGCATCCAAAAACCCGGCCTTCAGCTTTCACCAGAAGCTGGTGCTGCGCCTCAAACACTTGGGCCAAAGCTGGTATTTCTGAACAGACAGTCAGGCTGACCTTCCTGCCCAGCAAGCTGACTTGTCATCCTAAGACCAGATCCCACCTCAGTAGTTTGGGCTCTCCCCATGTCGGGTAACGAGTGACAACTCACAAGCATCGAGGCAACGAGGCTGCAAATAACCCTTGTCAATGGCCAGGCTCTCCAGACAGTCATGCTTACCAGTGTGCACAACCCACACGAACGCACACGCACACACACGTTCGCCGCGTACATCGTACCCCTGCCATGCACACGCGCGCCCGCCCGCCCGGGGACACCTGTGCCAGGAAGTCAGGGGCAGGGCCCACCTGGGCCAAGGTTCCAGAGCCTTCGCAGAAACACCAGATCTAGCCAGAGCAAGTCGACATATTGCTGAACTGTTATCTGTCACCCAAGAGCCCGGGTGACAGCACAAAGGCCTTATCGCGTCTCCAGCGTGGGCTGTGACACAGAACACACAAAGGGGCTGCGCACTGACGCCGGCCACCGGGTCCCTAGTGGGTCCTCTGCAGGCTGGCCAGTGAAGGACCCCAGACGCGCTGCCCGACCGCACGCGCGCGCTCACCTTGTGGCAGGCGGAGCAGGTGGGCAGAGCGCCGCCGGGCCCGGGCGCGCTCTTGCCGCCGCCACCGCCGCCGCCGCCGCCGCCGCCGTTGCCGTTCAGGCTGCTCTGGATCTGCGTGAGCTCCTGGCGCAGCACCTGCTTCTGATGGAAGCTGAAGGCCGGGTGGTTGGAGGCCATGGTGAAGAGCAGAAGGAACTCATCGCCCGTGCGTCCCTCGTTGAGCTGCAGCCCGTAGTTGTGGATGATGGAGTCGGTGTGCGTGAGCGTGCGGTACAACACGCCCGCAGCCTCGCGCTGCTCCGAGCCCAGCAGCGCCAGCGACACCAGCAGCTTGCTACGCACCACCTCGTCTGTCAGGTTGGTGAGGCTGCCAAGGTCCGCCGGGTTGTTGGCCTTAATCTCCGAGTCGCGCAGCGAATGGTAGTCCTTGCGTGCCAGGTCCTCCAGGCACGAGCCGAGGAAGCGCAACTCGAGAGGGATGCACAGGTCCAGCAGGCCGCACAGGAACTCCACGCGCTGCGGCGACGGCAGTTCGGAGAACCAGCGGTACACGCCGTCCCTCTGCAACGGGCAGCGCTTCTCCACCATGCTGCCGCCCGCGCCGCGCCCGCCGCCGGGCCCGGGAGCCGCGCGCGGGCGGCCGGGGGGCGCGCAGGGCCGCGGCCGGGCGCCGGGACCGGAGCCGGGCGAGGCCGCGCGCGCGCGGGCCGGGCGCGGGCGCGGGCGCGGGCCGGGCGCGCGCGGGCCGGGGGAGCCGCCCGCCAGGGGCCCCGCGGCGGCCGGAGCCGGGGCCGCGGCCGGGGCGGCTGGGGGCGGCGAGCGGCCTCGGGGCCGCCGCTCACGGGGAGGCGCCCTGCCCGCGCCCGTCCCCAGCGGCGGCCGGTGCGCGGCAGCGGCGGCGGCCGCTCCTCGTCGTCGTCGTCGTCGCCCGGGAGGCGGCCGCCCCCATCTCCCCGCGCGCCGCAGGGTCTGTCAGTGCGGGCCGCCCCCCGACGGAGCCGCCCCGGCCATGCCGCCTCCTGCGCTTGCGCCCAGGCCGGCCGTTACCCGCTGCGAGGCTGGGCGCGGCGCCCGGACGGGCCTGGCGTGGCGGAGTGATCCAGCCGGACCCGCGGACGGATCGCGGCCCGGGCCGTCGGAGCTGAGCAGAGCGCGCTCGCGAGCACGGGCGGCCGCGGCCAGCGGAGTGGGCGGGGTGGCCGCCTCTCGCGACAGCCCGGGCAGGCCGGGCCCGCCCCCCCACGCCGATTGGCCCGGCCGCCTGTTCTGCGGTCGGACTCGGGCCAGCAGCTTCGCAGGATTGGTCAGAGCCGAGGCCCCGCCTCTGAGAGGCACTGTCGATCACTCCGGGCCCGCCCTCACCCGCCCCCCTGGCGACCGGCGCTAGCGGATTGGTCGGCGGGAATCGGAATGGTGGAAAATCTGGGATGGATTCTTGGGCGCTTTTGTTCCCTCAGATTAGCCTGGAGCCTTGTTTTTGGGAAAAGACGGGCGTTGGGCCTTGGTGCTTTATTCACGAACGTGATGGCAAGGAGGTGGCGATGGGCCTTAGAAGAACTACTGGCGCCGGGTTTCCCTCTGATCTGCCCGAGCCACGCTGTGTGACCTTGGGCGAGTCGCTATTTCTCTCTAAACCCTAGGCGCCTCCCGGGGAAGATGCGGGTAATAATACACTCCCGGGGGGCTGCTGAGAAGGTGGTGAGCTCACAGTGGGCAAGCACCTGCGTTTTTGAGGCGGCAGGCCCGCTTAGGGCGAAGGTGATGGGAAGAGCAAGCCTTCTCCCCAACATCTGTCAGCCAGGTCTGTCAGCCGGCCAGTCAGCCCGCCCTGTCAACGGGAAACCTCGGGCCCTGGAACGGAGAAAATGCAAACCCACGGGCAGGGTCAGGGCTCAAGGACTGCCTCAACCCTGGCTTTTGATTGGCACCGAGAAGCAGTTGGGGGAAGGGGAGGCGAGCATCCAGCCCCTTCCAGTGCTTAGGATGCAGGGCCCTCCTTGTGCAGACAGAGAAACTGAGACCCGGGACGAGATGCCCCACTCCCATCCCTGGATGGTGTTCTCTGATGTCCTGGAGGTATAGGACGACTGTCCCTTCCTGGGCATAGGATATCGGTACCTGGGTCAAGCTGAGCCCCGCTGCAGAGCCTGCAGTCAAGTCTGTGAAACCAGTAAATAGAGCCTGCCTGTCTGGTCCAAGGTGCTGAAAACTCTAGGCAGAACATTCCTGGCCTCGCGTCTCCCACCTTGAGCGGATATTGCCCGCCAAGAGCCGGTAAACTGTTCCCGTGCCCTACCCACCCCCTTAGGCGCGTTTTTCTGGCTAGCCCCATGTGCTGGGAGGCTTAGGGGTAAGTGGGACTCCTGGGGAGCCCACTAGGCCCCCACCTGGTTTCCCAGGGCAGACTACTGAATCACAGTTCTGTGTAGTTGCTAAAAAGACGTCCATCCCTAAGTGTAAGAGCCACGAAGCAAAAAAGCCTAACCTGGAAAACAGCATACCCCTACTTGCTGCAGGAATGCCCCAGAACCCACGGACACTTGGGTGCTTTGCCCCAGCTCTGGTGGCTAGCTGTGAGACCTGGGCCACCTACTTAATTAACCCTTCTGAGCCGGTTTCCTCATCTGTAAAGGCAGCCTAGAGCCCAGCCTGGCAGGTGGCACTGGAGGTCATGGGTGTTGCCCAAAGCTCTTTCAGGCTGGAAAGCTGGGGCTGGAACCATAGAAGGCCCTGGATGGAGCTCCTCTAGATCAATCTGCCTTCTTGCTGTGTGGTATGTTATTTAAAGCCTTAACGGCCCCTAAAAGTTCATGTCCACCTAGAGCCTCTAAATGTGGCCTTATTTAGAAATAGGGTCTCTGCAGATAGAATGAAGGTCAGAATCAAGTCACACTGTGCCAGATTAAGGATTGGTCCCCAATTCAATGAGAATGCCCTAGTAGAAGCTGTGTCTTCCCGGGCACAGGTGGCAAGGACAGAAAGTGCGTGTAAAGATAGACTCTATAGTTAAGGGATGGCAAGAGGCTGGCCAGATCCTCCCCTGTGCCTTCTGTGGGGACGGTGGCCGCCACACTTTGACTCTAGATCAAGGCCTCCAGGGAGGAGGATGTGGCTTACGATTGAGGTTGGGGCAACCACAGGAAACCAGGGCAGATTACTCCCTCCTTTGCTTCAGCTATAGGACCAGACCTCATTCTGAGATTGGGGCTATAGAAATGAGTAAGACCCAAGCCCTCACACCCAAGCTTTACGGGTCTCTGCTCCCTTGCCTCCCTTCTCAAGCTTCCCAGCCTCAGCTCAGTCCTGGGCGCACTCTGTCCTGCGAGAAGATATTCAGTGCCCATGCCTCTCTGTTGCTGTCCCTACTTCAGCACACTCCAGGCCTCGTGTTGCGAAGCTCTGGGTGTCTGTGGCAGGCCCTGGTGCTCAGGGCTCCTTCCTTGGCACAGCCTCGGCTGTGGGCTCCTGAGCCTTCCACTCCATGTTTGCGGAAGTTCCAGGGATTGCAGGCTTTCTTCCATCTTTTCCTCACCTTGCCTGTCTACCTCCTTCCAAAGTACTAGAGAACTAAATATTTGGGAGGACTGGGGGACCCCTAGGGGATGCGGGGAACTAACCCTAGGGCTCAGGATGAACCAGAAGGGCTACTGAGGTTCTATGGGATCAGCATAGGAGAAAGCCTGCAGGGAACAGAAATGGCTGTAAACCAAGTCCAAATCCAGCTGACTGTCATTCAGGTCCCAAACCCCCATGCCTGGAGAGGCAGGTGTGGGGGTGCTGCTGGTGCATATAGACCCTGAAGCCATCCAGAGTGTGATCCAATCTAGGGTAGCTTGGATTGCCTGCCTGTATTTATGTTTGTTCCAAAATGGCTTCCTTTGGGAGTAAGATGGGAAGAAAGAGGTCCCTTCAAGAGAACTGAGTAGGACACCGATTCCTTAAAACAGAAATGTGGTGTTCACCTCCAAGTTCCAAGAGCAAGCCACCCAATGGTGTGAAGTACCTGTAATTGTTTCTGGGTGTGTACTAGTAATCCCAACTCTGTGGGACTGCTCATCACCTGACTCCCCAAGTGCCCTTCCCCCCATGCTGGTATCCTGCTTTTCTTCTGCCTCAGCATTCAGCCAGGGAGAAAGACTAGCATGGGGGCCCAGCAGCCATGAACCCATGAAGACAAACCGAGACATGGCTCTGATTAAGGCAAAGAGCTCCATATAAACTGGGTGCATTGGCAGAAGGAACAGGCTCTAACCATGCCTCTGTCCCCTGGCCCAAGCCTGCTCTCTATGAGGTGGTTTGGGGACCTTAAACCCCTAAGTGGGGCTATACCTCAAGTAGACCCTAACTTGCTGGTGGGGTTCTTTTTTTAAATTTTTTAATATTGTGTGTATGAATGCTTTGTATGTATGTTCACATATATGCCTGGTGCTTGCAGAGATCAAAAGAGGACATTGGATCTACTGGAGCTGGACTCACAGATGGTTGCGAGTCACCATGTGGGTGTTGGAAACCAAACCCAGGTCCTCTGCAATAGCAACAAATGCTTTTAACTTCTGAGCCCTCTCTCCAGCTCCCACTGATGGGATTCTTACAGGCCTAGGTTCCTAATACCTCAGCAATGGGTCCTAATGCTGCCATCCAAATCACAATTCCCAGATGTGGAGCAGTCCAGATATAAGCTTGGTACAGCAGCTTATTCATATTGGAAGTAGAATCTGGCATGCCAATCACCTACCAATGGCACCCTTCCCAGGGAAGAATTGTAGGCACCACAAGTCATTGACTCAATGTTTTGCCAGCCCAAGGCAGCAAGGCAAGCCTGTCTTCTGTATGCTGACTTCTACTGCTGAACTTACCTGTAGCCATAAGCAGGTATCTTCCCCCAGAACTCCTGGACCTAGCATCTGCACAGGCAAGGTTTGCCCGTAGCCCAACTGTTCTCCCAGGGGTCTGGTGTGGGGCCAGATGTCCTATTTTCCCAGTGGAAACAGAAAAAAAATCTGGACTCGTATTTAAATGGAGAGTCCTTCCAGGTATAGAGTGTACACCTGTCACCCTAGAACTCAGGAAGCTGAGGCAGGAGGATCAAAACATCAATGCTACCCTGAATTACATGACCCTTGCCAAAAAAACAAAGGTAGAAGCCAATGAGATGGCTGAGTGGGTGAAAGTGCCATTGTAATCACTCCTGCAGAAGGATGGGAGGGAGGCGGGATAAGAATCTCCCAGAGGGTCAAGGGCCAGCTGCCCTGGAATATGTAGCACTACAGAAACATCAAGAGACCCTGCCTTAAAAACAAAGGAGCCAGCAAGATAGCTCGGTAGCAGAGCACCTGCTGCCGAGCCTGGCAACCTAAGTTCAATACCCAGAACCAGACAGCAGAGAGAACCTGCTCCTGCCAGATGACCTCTACTTGTGTGTCGTGGTGCTTGCAGCCCCTACACACACACACACACACACACACACACACACACACACACACACACACACACACACACACACACAATGGAAGCACTCCTGGGGTGTGGTGTTTCTGCTTCCAGGCCTCTAATGGGGGTTTTCTTTTCCTTTTTCCTTTTTTTTTCTTCAATCATCTCTTACAAGAAACTTATTTTAAAATAGAAATATGTTTTTTATATTCAATATTTTGAAACATTCAAACCAAAATGAAATTATAAAATCGTCTTGTACATACATTTTCACATTATCCTAAACTCTTAGCCCTGAGTTAATGGGCAGAAGAAAATGCTGGCGAAAAGGTGAGAACAATGACTAAGGCATGAGATTTCCATCATGCTTAGGTGTTTGAATATACAGATTCTAAGTTTTTATTTTAAAATTTTGACTTTGTCAAATTTGGTGGCTTTGTAAATGAACATGATTAGAGAATTAAGAATGAAATATTTTTATGACAATTTACCATGTACTTTTAAAAACAAAAATCAAAACTTTTTCCCTCCCTAGGGGCTTTTCTACATTAATAAAAAGCCCTTTGTTGGGTAGAGTGGCTCACACATGTTATCTCAGCATTTAGGAGGCTCACATAAAAGGATGGCTAGCCTGGACTACATAGAGAGTTCACTGTCAACTCAGAATACACGGTCTTAAAAAGTCAAAAAACCCAACTAAAATGATTGGAGTTTAAATGCATACCACTTGGCAAAGGCACTCTTTGATTTCCAGAAGGAGGGACTAAGACTCAGCATGGTAGGTTCCTGAGCTGAGGTCACACAGCCCATAGCTTTAGGGGTCTCTCGTGGCCTTCTGCTGCTTGACTCTCTCTCTCTCTCTCTCTCTCTCTCTCTCTCTCTCTCTCTCTCTCTCCTCCCTTCTGTGTTTGTGTTTTCTGTATTCCACAACAATATGCTTTAATGCCAGTGCCTAACTTACTACCCTCACAAGGTTCTGCTTGTTTTCACCCTATCAATGAGACTTTAAGGAAATGTCAAAATACCCCAAAGTCAGGGGAGTAGTACAGCAACTCCTCATACCCCTACTTCCTGTTTTCATCTGAGATGGATTTGTTTTTAAAGACTTCTGTATAGTAAAAGCGTTTCACCACTTTTATAAACTGTATGGATATATATATATATGTGTTTGTATATAATATATTGTTAAGGCTATTTTATTTTTAGTTATGTTTATGTGAGGAAATATGCCTGTGGGTGAGGGTGTCCATAGAAGTCAGAGGTTTCAGATCCCCTGGATCTGGAGTTATAGGAGGCTGTGAGTTGCCCTACTACATGGGTGCTGAAAACCAAACAGGTTCTCTGGAAGAGAGAGCAGTAAGCACTCTTAACCACTGAGTCCTGTAAGTACATACGTAATTTTTTTATTTGTTTTTGAGACAGGGTTTCTCTGTGCAGCCCTGGCTGTCCTGGAACTCTCTCTGGACACCAGGCTGGCCTCAAACTCACAGAGATCCGCCTGCCTCTACCTCCCAAGTGCTGGGATTAAAGGTGTACGCCACCACTGCCAGGCAATACATACATACACATATATATATTTTAAATTGACTCCCTGGCATCTCTCCAAACCAGCCATGCTATTGTCATTGGTGGTACAAAGGCAGCACAGAGCTTTGCTGTGCCTTAACCTATTAGACAAGTCTCTCAGTTCTAGGCACTCAAGTCTGTGTTGAGGGAGATACTGAGGACAGTTTTACCAGCCCTGGACTTTGTCCCCTCTGGGTTGGGCTGAGGTTCATAGAAGGATCACATTCCAGAGAAACAGGAAAGATAGAGGAAATGATCTGCCTCCTAGTGCCACCCAGTCAAGCCTTCCTGCCTCCATTGCTGTTCTGTTAGAAGTCTCAGGAGACACACCCAGACTGCACTAGCTGGGTAAGGGAGTATACATCTGAAATACCAGAAGCAAGACAGTTGTAGTCATCCACATTTGTAATCCTAGCACTTGCAAGGCTGAGGCAGGAGGATTGAGAGTTTAAGGCTAGTCTGGAGTACCTGGCAAGTTCAAGGCCAGTCTGAGTAGCATAGGGAGACCTTGCTCAGAAAATAAAGTAGGGGGCAGGCAAGATGTCTCAGTGGGTAAAGGCACTTGCTGTGCAAGCCAGGTACCTGACTTGGAATTCCTGGGACCCACATAAAAGTGAAAGAGCCAACCCTACAAAAACTGTCCGTTAACCTCCACATGGCAGCACTATGGAAGGTCCTCACCTCCCTACAATAATAAATTTTAAAGTAAAATATTGTTTTTGGCTGTCCTCAAATTCACTACATACCCAAAAAATGGCCTTGAACAGATTCTGGTCTACCTCTACCTTCCAAGGGACAGAATTACTGGTGTGTGCCACTTTGCCCAATTTATGAGATACTGGGGTTCAAACAAAGGGCTTCATGTGTTCTAGACACTCTACCAACTGAGCTATATCCCAGCCCCTAATCAAAAATTCATAACACCAGTTTTTAAATCTATTTTTAAAATATTTCTTTTTAAAAATTATTTAAACTTTTTTTTTAATTGTATGTGTGTATGAGCACCTGGTGTGTGCCTGGTACTGGAGGAGACCAGAAGAAGACATCAGATCACCTGGAATTAAGGTTACAGACAGTTGTGAGCCACCATGTGGGTGCTGGAATCTGAACCAGGTCCTCCGCCAGAACAGCCAGTATCCTTAATGGCTGAGCTATTTCTCCAGACCCTTAACACCAGTTTTTAACCCTAGCTTGTTAAGGCAGCTATAAAGGGTCACAAGTTTGGTGGTTAAAAAATAAAAGAATAAAAACTGCAGGCCAGAGGTCTGCCACTAAAGTAGGCATGCTGCTCCCTCCTGTGGCTCAAGACCCTCCAGCTCTTGGTAGCTAGTACCTCTTTAAAATCCTTTGGCTTGTGAATACATCATCCCTCCAGCCTCCACCTCTGCCCTCATCTGGATGACTCCCCTGCAGGCCTCTGTCTAATTCACAGCTAGCAGCTCACCCTGGTCTCACTCCTGTCTATCTTCCTGTAAAATGGAGCAAAGACACCCAGGCCTCAGCAGAGTACTGGGAGGGCTAGAGATGGCAAACCTAGGCGGTACTTTACAGTAGCTTGTTGGACTTGGCTGCCAGGGTTCTCACAGTCACAAGCATCTCTCACCTCACTGAGTGCACCTGTGCTTGCCAGTGTGCGTACGTGCATGCGTGCGTGCGTGCGTGCGTGCGTGCGTGCGTGTGTGTGTGTGTGTGTGTGTGTGTGTGTGTGTGTTGGGGGGGCAGACACACCAACATGAATTGGTAACTTCCTGTGGGCTAACTCTAATACACCACAGTTCTTCATATCATGATTTTGCAGGCAAAAAAACTGACCACAGAGAGGCTAAGTCACTTGGAGAACACACACAGCAAATGGCAGAGCTAGGCTGACACCCTTCTCTTGCATCTTGCCAAGCCTATCAGAGTAAAGGTTTTGGCATCAAGAACAGGAAGGGAAGTAATGCCAGAAGACAAAGCACCTTCATGGCTCATTTCATCCTTGTGGTACACTTTGAAGTCAGTATATCATTGTCCCCACGTGCAGAGGAGGTCAGGCAGTGGGGACAGCATGAGGTCCTGATCACACTGCCCTGCTCCCCAAGAAGGGATACAGATGGAGGCTAGGTCCCGATGGCAGCTGTGTGGGAGGGGAGCCCACAGTGGCAATCAGCATCACAGATGCTGTGGATGAGCCAGGCAAATACCTCTGCCCTGCTTAATATCTCATTGCAGTGGCTCCTCACAATTTTACCAGTGTGATACCGCTTACCCTTCCAGCTAGAGAAACTGAAGCTCAGAGAGGCCAGTTGCCCAGCACAGACAGGAAGCAGATCAGTCTGCTGATTACAGTGCCCGTGTTCTCCCCCACTGTCCCCCATGTTTGAGTCCCAGTGGCTCTGGGAATGTGCGTGCGTGCGTGCGTGCGTGCGTGCGTGCATGCGTGCGTGCGTGCGTGTGATCTAGCCCATTTGGAAAAGTTTGGGGGTCTGTATTTTCTGTGTATGTGTTTATGTGATTATCCCCACACGTGTGTACACATGGAGACCAGAGTACAAGCTCATCTGCCCTTCCCCATGCCATCCACTTTGTTTTTTATAAACAGCATCTCTCACTGGCCTGGAACTCACCCATTAGACTAGGCTGGCTGACTAGCCAGCCTCAGGGATCTACCTATCTCCCCGGTGTTATGATTATAAGCACATCATGTCATCATGTCTGGCTCTTTTTGCATGGGTCCTGGAGATTGAACTCAGACCCTCTTGCTTGCAGGGTAAGTACTTTACTGACTGAGCCATTTCCCCAGCCCTGGGTCTAGATGTTCTTAAACTTGCATATCCACCTGTCACCCCTGTTGTCCTTTTCAACCCTTTGATCCTCCTTGATATTCCAACATACTCTTTTCTCCAGTGATGACTTCCCCTGGGACACCTGTGCAGACCATCAGGATGGTCACCAATGTGATCAAACACCATGTAGCTTGTGGTGCCCTGGCAGAAGATCAGGACCTAATGAGAGCAGCAGCTCCTAGATCGGTGGTTCTCAACCTTAGGGTCAAGACCTCTTCCCAGGGGTCACCTAAGACCATCTGCATATCAGATATTTAAATTACGATTCACAACAGTAGCAAAATAACAGTTGTGAAGTAGCAATACAAATAATTTTATGGTTGGGGGTCACCACAACATGAGGGACTGTATTCAGCGGTTGCAGCATTAGGAAGGTTGAGAACCCTGTCCTAGAGAACAAGGCTCACTCTAATTCCCTGTCACTGTGGACTTCCAACTCTTGGAGGATCCTGTGTATGCAGTAGGTGCCCATTCAGTGCTTGTCAGTGGTTGGTATGACTTCTAAGTCTTGGTGGTGCTTTTTCCAAACAGAGTCCACTTCTGTGCAGACTATGGACTTTGGCCATCCCCCTCCTTAATGGTATGCCTTATCCATCAAGTAGGACTAGTCATGTGAGTATCTGCTTTCCCTTGGAATCCTTGCAAAATGGAAATTTTCCAACATAGTGTTAGTATTTTCTTATCTTTTGGCACTAATCCCAGGATGGGAAAGACCTGTGCTGGAAGCAAACTACTGGGCCATCAAGGTTAACCCTTTAGTCAGCAAATGAAAAAAGTAAATTCCCAGAGGCAACTTGGGCTGGGGATGTAGCCCAGTTGGTAGAGTTCTTGTCCATTATGAGGAAAACCCTGAGATCCATCCCCAGCACTGCACAAACCAGGTATGGTCACACAAATTTGTAACGCCGGTACTCAGGAGGTAGATGCAGGATGGTCAGAAGTTCAGGGTCACCCTCATCTATATAGTGGGTTTGAGGCCAGCCTGGGCTACATGAGACCCCAGCTCAAAACAAACAAACAAAAAACAAACCAAACATTTTATCACAGTGACAAGTAAACAGCTGCAATGCTGCAATGTCATTGGTGACAATGAATAGTGACATCAACATGGAGTTTATTTTCTCACAGGACAGGAAGCCTAGTGCTGGTCACTTATGTCAAGGACAGTGTTCACAAGTCTTCGGGTCTTTTCTCTAATACCAATATGGCCGCCATAGCTCCAGGCATCACACTGTGCAGTCAATGCAGGACCAGGAGGCAAAGATGTAATACCTCCTTACAGAGCTAAAAAACAAACCCATTTGCCTTCCCCTGAGCGACCATCTAAGAGATTTCTGCTTAAATCTCATTTGTTGACTGATGGCTAGTGTCACCTGACAACTGGAGAGAATCTAAAACCACCTGGGAGACAGGCCTCTGAACATGCCTGTAGGGGATTGTCTCGATTATATATTAATTAATGTGGAAGAGCCTTCTTGACTAGACAGGACCATTCCCTGGGTAGGGATCCTGGACTGTATGACATGGAGGAAGCCAGCTGCACAGCATTTTTCTGCTCCTGACTGTGCTCTTTCTGCTTCTTGACTGTGGGTGTGATATGCCCAGCTGCCTCACACCCCTGCTACCTTGTCTTCCCTGCCGTGATAGACTGTAACTTTGACCTCGGAACCAGAATAAACCCTTCCCCCACGTAAGTTGTTTTGTTGGGGTGATTTATTATGGCAACAGGAACACACACACACACACACACACACACACACACACACACACACACACACACAAGCAAACCCCACAAGTTAGCGTGTAGTACCTGTTGAGAAAACCCAAACTGATTTTGGGTACTCCTAGATGAACTTTGTCACAATGCTTTGTCACAACAAGCCATACTTGAATTCATACACTGAACTGAAAATGGCCCGGTACACTGAATCTGCTAGACTGCTGGGCAAGCACAGCACATGGGTTTCTCTCCCTTGTTGTCCCTGTCCAGCACCACCTGAGAGGATCTTCCTATGGTGTAGCGCTCATCTGGAGGAAAGTCAAGTGTAAGACTACAAAAACAGCTTCCAAGAAGTGGGGCTTGCTCTCACACCACCTCAAAGTGGAAGTTACATAAGTTGGGGACCATGTGCAGACAGCACGCAGTGTGCTGAGAAGTTGGGGACCAGGTGCACACAGCATGCAGTGTGCTGGGAAGTTGGGGACCAGGTGCACACAGCATGCAGTGTGCTGGGAAGTTGGGGACCAGGTGCACACAGCATGCAGTGTGCTGGGAAGTTGGGGACCAGGTGCACATAGCATGCAGTGTGCTGGGACACACACACAGTGGCTGACAAGAGACAGAGCTCTGGATGAGTCTTGTGGGTAGACAAGGACTTGCATGTTTAGTGTTGGTTTTATTCAGTCTTATGGGTATGTTACAACACAAAGTGACTCATTCTCTCTCTATCACTCTCTTCTGGGTGGTTCGTAGGTGTCAAGGTTGGCTGGAGGGAATCTTCATCTCCCAGTAGCCAGACACTACAGGGCAGTCCTGGCCCCTCAGACCTCTACTTAGAATCCTGGTTCTGAATGTGCCATATAGCTCCAGGGAAGGTATGAGTCTGGGTCGTTTTTAAGAGAAACTAATGGAGAAAATTTCCTCCCAGCATCCACAGATACAGGGGAAGTGAGCGGTTTTAATTGGCTGATGGCATTCCTGATGTCCAGATGAAAACCTCTTTGCATTTATATACATCTGCACCTGTTAATTGTGTGTGTGTGTGTGTGTGTGTGTGTGTGTGTGTGTGTGTGTGTGTGGTGTCTGCCTTCTGTCTTCTGGAGGCTAGAAGTCAACCTCAGGAATTATTCCTCAGGCACCTTCCAGACTTTTCTGTTGTAGTTGAGACAGGGTCTCACTGGTGTGGAGCTTGTTATAGGTTAGGCCAGCTGGCCAGAGAGCCTTAGAGATCTGCTTGTTTCTGCCTCCTGGTGCTAGGATTACAAGTGTAGGCTATTATACCCAGCATATGTTATTTATCTATCTATTTATTTATTTTAATGTGGTTATGGGGCTCAAACTCAGGTCCCGGTGTATTGAAGGGCAACACTTTATGGACAGTCACCCCCTGAGCCCCAGTCTTTCTAAGGCCCAAGAGTCTGGAACTTTCACAAGAGGCTGAAGGACCAGGGGAATTTAAAGAATGGACATGAGCGGCTGTGTTCAGCCTGGTACAAGCCATGGTCCCCAGTGCCTCACCCCCCTGGGTCTATGTGGTAGGGACAGGCCTGCCAGCACATGGGCTGTTTGTTGCAAAGAGCCTAGACTCCAGGAGCCAGCTGCTAGCCACAGAGCCCACAGCCCACAATCCCAGGATCCCGGGAACCAGTGACTTCCTCCCCCCCACCCCCCACCCCACGGCAGCACCAGCCTCCCTGACCTCCTGGCCAGCGTTTCCCAGCAGCCTTTTGTTTATTTGGACAACGTCTGGGGTCTCCTAGAGAAAAAGGCTCAGCTGAGTTCCAGGAAGTGAGCCCGCACTGCCTGCTTCTGGAAGGCTCCCAGCTGTCCCTCGGTGGCTCCTTTGGGCCAAAGCAGCTCAGCCTCAAGCCAGTGCAGGGCCTGCTCCAGCCCTAGTGTGCACTGAGTACCCACCCCTCATTCGCCCTGCTCTGCCACAGTGCAGACCTCTGTGCCCAACACTAGATGCTTGATGTCTCTGCTGACCCGCTCAAGCCACAGGGGCTGTTTGGTGTCACGAAACACAGCACAGCAACATGACTGACAGCAGGCACTTTTCTTGGATGCTCTTTTCACTCCAAGTTGAACTGTGATCTTAAAAAATTAAAAATAAGTAATAAAAATTGTATTTGTTCTTAGGCAGGGAGCATGTGCCACCGCACACGTGGAGGTCGGAGGACAACTCTGTGGAGTCAGGTTTTCTTCCACATTTATGTGGGCTTCAGGGATCAAACTTGGGTCACGGTTTGGGGATTTAGCTCAGTGGTAGACAAAGCGCAAGGCCCTGGGTTTGGTCCTCAGCTCTGAAAAACAAAAAACAAACAACAACAACAACAACAAAACTTGAGTCACCAGGCTTGAATGGTAAGCACCTTTACTCACTGAGCTCCGTCATTGGGCCTTCTCTCTTCTTAAGAAACAACCTCCTCCTCCTTAAGAAACGTGGTGGTGCACGCCTTTAATCCAAGTACTCAGGAGGCAGAGGCAGGCAGTTCTCTGTGAGTTCAAGGCCAGCCTGGTCTACAGAGCTTGTTCTAGGACAGCCAGGGATACACAAAGAAACTCTAAAAAAAAAAAAAAAAAAAAAGAAAAGAAAAAAAAAGAAAAAGAAAAAAGAAACAGCCTCTTGAATAGTTATGGCCTCTTCTGGAATCAGAATGCCCCCAGCTTTGAATCTCAATGCTGTCACTGATGATTGTGTGGCTTTGGAGAAATGATTCCATATTCTCTCCTACAAAATAGAAGCCACCAGCACCCTACTCTGATGGATTGCTAGGAAGCTTCAGTGGGATAGTCCTTACAGAGAGGGAAGAGCTGGTGTGCAGAAAGGAGGAAGGGCCGGGTGTGGTTATTTTAGTGGTCTAATTACGAAAACAGAAGCAGAAAATACTAAAAGAATCAAAAGTAATCATAGGCGCTGGAGAAAGTCCGGCCCGGTGGCTGCGTCTGTAATCCTGGCTCTCACACACTGAGGCAGGAAGATCTGGAGTTCCCAGATGGCTAGCACTGGCCTGCATGCATGAACATGTCTACATGGACATATACACATACCACATATAGACCAAAGACAGCTTGCTGAGTATTGAGAAAAGCTAGCACGTGTGTCCATATGTAAACCGTACTTATGCAACAATGAACGGATCTATGGCATGTGCACAATTACCTCCCACAGCCGAGGAAGGAAACCTAGAAGGGCAGCCGTGTGTCTCCAGGCTTCAATCTCTCTCCACTGTGCTTTTTGAGACAGGATCTCCTGCTGAACCTAGACCTCACCAATTCAGTTACCTAGACTGTCTGGCCAGGGAACCCCAGGGACCCTCCTTTCTCCTCCCTACAGCTGGGATTTCAAACATGAACTACCAACACTGGCTTTCCCCATGGACACTATGGATTTGAATTCTGGTTCTCATGTTTATATGGCAAACACTTATCAACTGAGCTTCCTCCTCAACATGCTACTTTTTTAAAACTTAAAAATATACTCAAGTCAGCTGGGTGTGGTGGCATATACCGCTAATTCCAAGGCGTACTCCAGAGGCAGAGGCATGTGGATCCCTGTGAGTTCAAAGCCAGCCTGGGTGTCTTAGTTAGGGTTTCTATTGGTGTTAAGAGACATCATGACCATGGCAATTCTTATAAAGGAAAACATTTAATTGAGGTGGCAGCTTACAGTTTTAGAGGTTTATCCATTATCATCATGGTGGGAAGCATGGCAGCTGGGAGTATGGTGGTATGCAGGCAGACATGGTTCTGGAGAAGTAGCTGAGAATTCTATATCTTGATCTGAAGGCAACAGGAAGTGGTCTGAGACACTAGGCGTGGCTTGAGCATATATAAGACCGCAAAGCCCAACCCTACAGTGACACTTTCTCCAACAAAGCCACACCCACTCCAACAAAGCCACGTTTCCTAATAATGCCACTTCCTTTGGGGACCATTTTCTTTCAAACCACCACACTGGGTGACACAGTGAGACCCTGTCTGAATAAAATAAAATAATCCTACCCTGTCTCAAATCTCTGTCCCTACAACCCTTCCTCCCTTCCTCCCTTCTTCCTTTCCTCTCTTGCTCCCTCCTTCTCCCTCTTCCCCTCCCCCTCTCAGAATCTACATGGTGATTCATAACCATGTGCAACTGCTGTAACTCCGGTTTCAGAAAATCTGAACCCTCCTCTGGCCTCTGAGGGCACCAGGCACACATGTGGTGTACAGACACACAGCTGGCAAAACATCCAAACACGTGAATCTTTAAAAAGTGTATATACCCAAGTTACCACAGTTTACCACTGCATGTACTTTTCAGTTTGATATTTATGAAACAAAGGCGTGTTTGTTGTTTGCTGGTAGGTTTTTATTTAGAAATTGGGCCTTGCTGTATGGTCAAGGATGAGCTTGAACTCCTGACCCTTTTAACTGCACCTCTAGAGTGCTGGGATTAACTGGTGAGAGACCTCGCCCTGCTTGTCATAGTTTGTAGGGTTTTGTTTCTGGTTTTTGTTTGAGCAATGTCCCGGAACTCACCATATAACCCAGACTGGCCTCAAACTCACCATCCTCCTGCCTCTATCTCCCAAGTGCTCGGGTACATCAACACACCAGGCTCACAGATGTTTTACAGAATGAGCCTCAGAGGATACATCCCACCCATTTCTTCTCCTCCCTCTAAAATGGGACTTACCAACTCAGTGACATGACTAGCGTGTGACAGCATCTAAGGCAGAGATGAGATGAAGATGCTTCCGGAGGTCACACAGGACTCCTCAGTGCCTCGTCACACCCACCGCAGCCCACTCCAGTCTCCAGCATTCTTCTGAGATTACATATATATATATATATAAATTAAACTCACAGAGGTCTGCCCACCTCTAACTCCCACGTGCTGAGATTAAAGGTGTATATCACCATGCTCAGCTCTTCTGCTGCTAATTTTTCTTAATCTAAATTATTTTGTGTATGTGAGTATTTGCCCTGAATGTATGTCTGTGAACTATGTGTGTGCCATACCTATGGAGACCAGAAAATGTATGAATCCCCTAGGACTGGAGCTACTGACAGTTGTGAGCCACAACGTGGGTGCTAGGAATCGAACCCCTCCTCTGCAAGAGCAGCCAGTGCTCTTAATCACTGAGCCATCTCTCCAGTTCCTTTTTTTTTCTGCTATTTTCAATGATGCCAACAAGACGTGATCAGAGGGTTCCAGGACCAAACAGTGGGACGAAGGTGAGGTAGAGAGGTGCAGGACCCCAAGCTCTCTGTCTAGTCACGGCCGGTCTCCCTCCTTCCTATTGCATGCCAAGGCTGAACCCAGTAGGATACGGCGAGCCTGGAGAGAAATGAGTGTCCCTGGAAAGGCAGAAGCAGAGTCCGTTTCCAAGCCGTCAGCAGAAGCCCTGGGATGGCTTTCCTTCTGTTTAGAGCAGACGTGGAGGCAGACCCTCAGCTCAGTTTCTGGGTGGACAGCTCATGAATGGCCTGCGCCAAGGCACACGGGGGAGGCCGCCTCCTCTTGTGGAGTTCCGCCTCAGGCCTACATTTCAGGCAGGCTGCTATTTTTAGGGGGCTGGCACCGTGGATAAGTGCTGGGTAGGGAGCAGAGGGGACCTGACACGCAGGGGCTGGGCATGCTGCAGCAGGGTGGGGCAAAGGAAAGGGGGCTGCCGGGCTGCTGAACAATGGGCTTGGGGGCTGGCAGGCGGGAGGGCTGTCACACCCACTGCAACGTTAATCACATCCTGCCTGGCGTCTCAGCAGCTCTGACACATGTGGCCCCACCCCACTCAAGAGCACCCTCCCTGCAGACTGCACAGGGTGCTGCCTCCCTTGCTGGATCCCTCCAGCGTGGACCTCCTTTGTCTGTACTGGCACCACGGGAGTCGGGGCCCCCTCCCTAAGACTGAAGGCCCACTCCTTGAACCTCGGCAGTTGTGGGACTCTGAGGCTGTAATAACAGAAGCAGACCCTGGCTAGCCGGGATGGGGCTAGGACAGTGGCTTGTCAATGGGAAGGTGACAACTAGGTCGCAGGAAGGCTGCAGGGGAGTGACTCTGGGAGTGGGGGTGGGGTGGGGTATGCAGGCCATAGGGGGATTCCGCTTCCTCCAGGCTCTTGCATTTTACAAAGAGCTCAGTCAGACCTCTGTGCACGCAAGGCTCTCCCAATGCTAAGGCCACCAGGGTCCTCCCTGGAGAGAGCCAGGTTTCCATCCCTAGGCACCCTGATCAGGGCTCCCTCCCAGATCCTGCAACCTCAGACACATTGTTTCTTTGAATCATGAGACTGAGGACCAGGCAGAAGGGGGGCCAGGCAGGCACGGGGAGTGTGACTCACTGTGGCCACCCAGCCAAGAGACTGGCAGGGGGGCGGTCTGCAGCCACTCAATCCCATCTCAGCTGGCTAGGCTGGACTCACCAGAAGCCAAGCCCCTCCCCTCCTCCCGCTGAGCACCCCCTCCTAACTGTACATCACCACCCACCGCTTCTCTTCCCTGGTCTCCATTCCCCCCCCCCCACCCCCCGTGCCCCTTCAGGCTCCTTGGGCCTGGTATGAAGGAAGTCTGGCCTCACGCCTGGCTTCACAGCTTCTCAGTTGTGTCTCCTGGATATGCTGTACCACTTTGTATCTGCCTCCATGTTCTGGTTTGATCTGTGATTAAAAAAAAAAAACAAAAAAAAACCATGACCAAAAGCAACTCGGGGAGGAAAGGGTTTATTTTAGCTTACATATTACAGTTCATCATCAAAAGAAGTCAAGGCAGGAACTCAGCACAGACGCTTGAAGCAGAAAACACAGAAGGCCTGCTCAGCTACTTTTTTTATACACACCCCAGACCCGCCTGCCTAGGGCTGGCACCACTCACAGTGGGCCGAACGCTTCTGGATCAATTAACAATCAAGAAAATGCCTCACAGATATGCCCGCAGGCAATCTGATAGAGCCAGTTACTCAACTGAGGGTCCCCGTTGCCAGGCTGATATCAGGCTGACAACCAAGATAAACCACCACCCTTGCCTCCTCCTGTGTGACAGAGGGATGAGACCTCTTTTGCAGGACTGTTGTCCGTCAGCAGGTGGATGCCAGCATGGAATGCATGTCAGCCCTGTAGACTTGCTACTCCTGGGTCTGGGTCTGGAGGAACGTTCCAGCCTAGAGCTGCCCACCCTTGCACCAGGCCACTTCCCAGCACCACCCAGAGGCTGTAGATGGATGCTGTGCAAGAAGGAAATGTTCTGGGCACTAAAAACCTCATGAAGGGCTAGCAAGATGGCCCCGCAGGTAAGGCGCTTGCTGCCAAGCTTGACGGTCTGAGTTCAATCCCTGGAACCTACAAGTTGAGAGGAAGGAACCAGTGCCCTCCAGCTGGCCTCTGACCCCCACATGTGCACCATGGCATGCCTATGTCGTTCCCCATAGAACACACATAAATAAGTGAATACATTGAGGAATAATAAATGAAACCTGACTGATCAAAAGCTTGTATCTGTAAGGAGTGACAGTTCACACCGGGGAGGCATCTGCTAGTCAGGGACAGGAAAGCTGTCCCTTCAAAGTACCAGTGAGACTAGGCATGGTGGCACATATCCATAATCAGGAGGCTGAGGCAGATGGATCACAAGTTGGAGGCCAGTCTGGACTGCATAGTGAATTTAAGGCCAACCTGGGCTACAATAAACCTATCTCAAAAAAAAAAAAAATCCACAAGCAAAGGAAGGTTAACAGCATGAGCCAGTATCCTGGTACCAACTGGGCACCTCCGTGTATGCCTGACCTTACTCAGTACTTTCCTGAATGCCAATGGCAGCAACTACTAAGCATGAATCTCTCTCTGTCTGTGTGTGTGTGTGTGTGTGTGTGTGTGTGTGTGTGTGTGTGTGTGTGTTTAAAATTGAGGACTCAGAGGAACTTGTACCATCACACTAACAACAAACTTTGCCAATGAGCTACACTCACAGCCCCAAGTAATTTTTACTGGTCTATTAAGTTTCTCTCTGTCTCTCTCTGTGTCTTTCTCTGTGTCTCTGTCTCTCTCTGTCTCTGTCTCTCTCTGTTTCTGTCTCTCTGTCTCTGTCCCTCTTTCTGTCTCTCTCTCTGTCTGTCTCTGTCTCTGTCTCTCTCTCTCTCCCACTCTCTTTTGAGACAGGGTCTCGTAAGCCCTGGGAGGTCTCTAACTCCCTGGATCTGGGGCTGGAGTAATGGCTCAGCAGCTGCTCTTTGTTTTGAGACAGAGCCTCACTATGTAACCCTGGCTGTCCTGGAACTCACATAGTCCAGGCTGGCCTCAAACTCACAGAGGTCCACCTGCCTCTGCCTCCTGAGTGCTGGGATTAAAATAAAAAGATTTGTGTCGTGTGTGTGGGCATTTTGCCTGTATGTATGTCCGTGCACCACATGGGTGCTTGGTGCCCTTAGAGGTCAGTAGAGGGTCTCAGATCCCCTGGAACTGGAGTAACAGCCAGCTGTGAGGTATTATATGGGTTCTGGGCATCAAACCTGGGCCCTCTGAAGGAGTAGTCAGTGCTCTTAACTGCTGAGCCATCTCTCCAGTCTCTTGCAGAGGACTTGGGTTCGATTCCCAGCACCCACATGGCAGCTCACAATTGCCTCTAACTCTAGTTCCAGGGGATCTGAGTCCCTTTTCCTGCCTCTGTGGGTACCAGACATACACAGTGCACAGACCTACATGCAGGCAAAACACCAACACCCACAAAATAAAATAAGAATCAAAATAAAAGCCCTCTATGTATCTGAGCATTACCTTAAGCTTCTGATTCTCTCACCTTCACCTCCTGAGAGTTCAGAGGTTACAGATGTGCACCACCACACAGATGTGCATCACCACACAGATGTGCACCACCACACACCATTTCGTGAGCTGTTGGTCATTGAACCCAGGGCTTCATGCACACCAGACGAGCTCTCTACTGACGGAATCAGAACGAAAGCCCCTCTGTTGGCTTATTAAATGGAAGGGAAGCCACACATGAGTCTGGATTCAGGTCCCACTGGATTCAGGGACTAAGATGCTATCCACCCTTGTCGTTGCTCTGGGTGTTGGGGGTCATTTTTTAGATAGGCGTGTCTGTTTGAGAAGGGAAAATGGCCGGCAAACCTACATGCCATAGCAGGTTATATGTTCTAACTTAATGTCTATCCAAATGTCCTTACAATGTAAGTGTCCTTCAGACCACTCCTCTTGACCTTGTCTCTGGAAAGGTAAAAGGGGCACGTGACTTCTAAGATTGGGTCTTAAAAGGTAACATGGCTTCTCCTCAATTCTCTCGCTCTAGTGGCATGTAGCCTTTTGAACCAGCAGCCCTGCGACACGGGTGAGTGTGGGGGTGGGGTGTGAGTCCACACTAGGGTCTGCAGTGAGACCACAGGAGAGGGCCTGATGAGACCCCCTGGGGCGGCCAGTACCAACTGCAGGGTTCACAGGACACCAGCCCAACTTCAGACAGTCCCAGCTTTCAGGGCTGCAACCCCCAGTCCCTATCCCCATGGTGCAGAGCAGAAAGGTCACAACACTGCTTCATCCCAACCTACAGAGCCAGGGTTGTCCTAACTTTGGAGAAGTTTGTCGTGCAGCCATCATGACTGTGACATCTTTCTTGGTTCCTACAGCTCAAAATCCCAACAGAAGAGGCAAGTCTGCAGGTTGCCCATAGCCACAAGGCCATGCCTAGTAAAATTCCCTTCTGGCTCAGGGCCTTTGATGGTTGATCTTGACTGTCAACTAGACTGGACTGAGAAGAGCTGGGGGGCGGGTGGTAACACACCAGTGTGTCTGGGAGAGTGTGGAGAGCCCTGAAATGTTGGTGGTACCATCCCATAGACTGAGCCTGGATGGAAAGAAATGGGGGGGGGGGGGTGGACCGCTAAGGATTGCAGGTGCACACGCTCTCTCTCCTCTCCCTGCCCCTTTCCTTCTCCTCTCCCTTCCACACTCTCTCTCCTCCGTAGTATGAGTCAGTCTTACAACACCCTCCCTACCGTGGCAGACTGGAGCCTCAGAAATGAGAAGCCGAAACCAGTTTTTTCTCCCTTCCGTTATTAAGGCCTCAAGCCTAGACAATCCCTGTGGTCAGAGGGATGGCACACTCTAGCTAGCTGCCCAGGCTGGGTCACAAGTGGCCCCCTGTCCTGACGAAGGGTGGGGGCAAAAAGAGTCCATCTCAGCAGGCTTACGAGGAACTGGCCAGGGGGCTCCTTGCGGGACAGCGGGGGATGTCTGTTAGGGGAAGGGAGGAGACATTAGTCAGGGCCCATTATAGCTCAGGAAGGCATGTCCGGGGCTGCCTGGCAAAGGGATGTTTTATCTATTGGGGGTGTAGGTATGGGGTAGGGGAATGCAGGAGAGTGAGAATTGTAATTTTTCCTACCCTAGCCAGACAGGGTGCTGACATCCAGGCTCTGGGCTCAGCCTTGAGTTAGGCACTTTGACCCACACCCCTGTTTAGTCAGCCTGCTGCCCTCAGAGGACAGGGACAGCCCCCAGGGTGGCATGGAGACAGAAAGGTGTGGGTTCATCCACACCGCTGCTGGAACAAAGACCAAACTAACAGCGGCTTCTAGACAAGAGCAGATCATTGCCTACAAAACAGCCAAGGACTAAGGAACTCTAGCCAACAGGCCTCTCTGGGCTTTGTGTTCATCTTCTTGTCTGCCAACCCTAACATGTGGTTGCTACCCTAAGACCTATGCTGCATGCCTCTGCTCCTACCAACACATCTACATTCCAGCCACACAAAGGGAAGGGAAATGAATGGGAACTGTCTTCCTTATAAAGGATGATGCCTAGAAGGTTCCCCCTCTTCTGATTATATCCAGTTGGTTAAAACTGTATCACATGGCCACATGTAACTGCAAGGGAGGCTGGGACATGTAGTTTTTAATGAGTGATCACGGGCCACACTGAAGATTAAGGATTCGAATGTTAAAAGATGGTGGGAAGAATGGACACTGGACATTCTGCGCTGGCTAGCTAGCAAGCTCCGTAGTGAGGGAGGAGGTCCAGACAGACAGTGTCAACACACTCAGATCTAGAGGTGTCATATAGGCTCTCTCTTGGAACAGCTACATTACTTCAGCCTCAAGTTCCTTATCTGGGACGCAAGGTGCTGTTAACATCAGATCTCACCAACTCTAATACTGCACTTTAACGTCTCTAAAGTTAAGATATGTTTACAAGCAATGGCATGTTTGAAGGATAGTTTTAGTCATTCTTAAATAATCTATACCGGTGTATCATACAAGTTAATGGAACCTGATATTCAATGACCTACAGTTCAGTTGTTGGGAGGGTAACTTCGTCAGTGGAGCTCACATCTCCTATGCATTGATAAAGCTATTAATGCAGAGGCTCTAGAGACAGCTCAGTAGTTAGGAGAGATTCCTGCTCTTGCTGAGGACCAGAATTCAATTCTTAGCACCTACATCAGGTGGCTCACAACCAATTGTAACTCCAGCTCAGGGGGATTTGATGCCCTCTTTTGGCCTCTGAGGGCACTGCACTTATTTGTGCATATGCACAAATAAAAATAAGGTTTTATTTTCCAAGACAGGGTTTCTCTGTGTAACAGCCCTGGCTGTCCTGGAACTCACTCTGTAGGCCAGGCTGACCTCGAACTCACAGAGATCCACCTGGCTCTGCCTCCTGTGTGCTGGGATGTGGACTAAAGACATGCGCCACCTCTGCCAGACATACCTCCTTGATTTCCATCATACGGCTTAGGTGAGCTTCCCATGTCTGCCACGACAGCCGACCAAGGAGAACCCTAACAAGAATGTGTTTCCTGAAGTGTCTGATTGTACAGCCTCGAGTCTAAGTGTGGGCAGCTGCCCTCATCTGATAGCTCCAAGGAGAACTGGCCTTGCCTTCCCAGCTCCTGAAGTCCTTGGGGTCCCTTAGTTTTGACTACACCACCCCAGCCTGTGTCTTCATCTTCACATGGTTTTTCTTTTTTTTTTTTTCTTTTTTTTTTTTTTTGGTTTTTCGAGACAGGGTTTCTCTGTGTAGCCTTGCGCCTTTCCTGGAACTCACTTGGTAGCCCAGGCTGGCCTCGAACTCACAGAGATCCGCCTGGCTCTGCCTCCCGAGTGCTGGGATTAAAGGTGTGCGCCACCACTGCCCGGCTTACACATGGTTTTTCTTACGTGTCCCTCTGACCTCTGCTCTTCTTGTCATAGCCAGGATCCCCAGATCCAGTCTGACTTTACCCCAATTAACTCCATCAACAGAGAACCCATTTCCAAGCAAAACAACATGCCGTGGTTATGGATGCCTGCAGGTTTTTGGAGGACACTGTGCAGCCCTGAGTGCTCCCTCTTTTGCGGTGGACCTGGCTCTGTTTGGGTGAGTCTCCTTCCCCCTCTCCTCCCCCTAACCCCCCCCGCCCCCCTTCCCTGGCACCATCTGAGGGTTCTGCAAGGTTTCTCTGACACCAGCCGTCATGAACGTCATGAACGGTCTGTTCTGCACTGGGGGAAAGGCAGCACCCAGCCAGCCCTTCTGGGCTGCTGCTAGAGAGCATGTTAGCAGAGGGGGACGAGCCCCGGGAACATCAGCAGAGCCTGTCACGAGGCTCGAACCGCACGAGCACGTGGGAATCTGTTACCAGACACTTCCTTGGAGCTCTGGTTCTTCTTATTTTATTTTTCCTTCCAGTAAAACAACGACGACGATGAAGCATTCCAGTAAAGCATTTAACTTGTCAAGGCATAAAGATTGCCTAAGAAAGACTTTCAGTTCGGGATATCAGCATCACCCTTTTGAAGGGAAAAAGGAAATAAACAGGGAAAACAAGCAGCTGAAGGTCACGTGTGAAGTTGTCTCACAAGGCAACCGAGGAGACTTCTCCTGAGCCTCAGAGCCAGGTGTGACAGTGTCCACCTGTCGTCCCAGCACCCAGAGAGTGGAGACAGGGATTGTGGGTTCCACCCCAGCCTGGACAAATAGGGAGACCCTGTTTTAAAAAACAGGCATGGGACCAGACACAGTGGCACACGCCTTTAATCCCAGCACTCAGGCGGCAAAGGCAGACGGCTCTCTGTGAGGTCGAGGCCGTTCACAGTGAGACCTTGTCTTAAAGAAAACAAAACCAGACATCAGCGACGAGTCCTCAGGGCCGGAGACGTCTGCCGGCTGTGAGATGCACTTTGCACTTTCACAGAGTGCATAAGCTTCAAGAGCACCGCACACTTTGCTCTACTAAGTCAAGGAAAACATTTGTTTGTTTGTTTCTTTCTTTCTTTCTGTGATCCAGTTTCATTATGTTCTGAAAGCTGGAAGGAATTAAATTACCTGTCTCAGCAGCTCCTAGAACCACATTGACCCAATGGCATTAAAGCTTTGTAAAATTGCATTTAGTGTGTGTGTGTGTGTGGACAACTTGGGTCCTCTGGAAGAGCAACAAGTTCTCTTAACCAATGAACCATCTGTCCAGCCCTCCTACCCAACCATGGCTTTTAAAAATACTCAGGATGATGCTTTAATTATTTTGAAATGAAATTCACAAATATATATATATCTGGGACTAGAGAGATGGCTCCTCAGTTAAGAGTACTGGCTGCTCTTCCAGAAGATTCAGGTTCGATTACCAGCATCCACATGGCAGCTCCCAACCATCTTTAACTCTAGTCCCAGAAGATCCGATGTCCTCTTCTGGCCTCCAAGGACACTGCATGTACATGCAGGCCAACCACCCATGCCCATAAAAATAAATATTAAAAAAACAAAACAACACTTCACTTACACACTAAGAACAATGCAGTGCCCCATGTGTGCCTTAAAGAACAGTAATAATGAAGTGACAGGAATTTACAGACGTATCTAGGTCTGACCTCTCAGACGACTTGGCGGATGCTGTGACCCAGTGGATCATCCTGGTGTGTGTGTCACGTGGAGACCCAGAGACCACGGCAGCCTTGCTGCAAGACAAGGCTAGAGGATCAGTAAATTTCCAGGGCAGAAGAAAGGAGTTCCCATGATCACATGGCGGGCACCTTCCTAGAACATCCAAGCTGTGTGACAACTTTGGAAAAAACAAACAAAAAGCCAAATCCTTCCAGACCCTTGAACATTTGATTGCTGGAGGGTCTGGTGGGATATGGGGAAATGGGGAGACTGCAAGTCTCCAGGATGCCCCCAGGGGGCAGCACTGATGCCCCCAATGAAGACCATAGATCTTTGCTGTTTGGTGTGTGTGTGTGTGTGTGTGTGTGTGTGTGTGTGTGTGTGTGTGTGTGTATCTGTGGAAATCAGAGGTCAATGTCAAGTGTCTTCTGTCACTTCTCCACCTGTTTTTTTGACACAGGGTCTTTCACTGAACCTGTAGCTTAGCGTTGTGTCTAGACTGGCTGATCCACAAGCTCCAAGCCCCAGGCGTCTTCCTGTCTCCACCCCCACATCACCGGGATTAAAGGTGTGCACCACCACACCTGACTTTTACGTAGGTGGTAGGATCCAAACTCAGATCCTCATGCTTATGAAGCAAAGCACATTACTTACTGAGCCATCTTCCCAGATCTGTCAATTTTGAGACAAAGCCTCTGTATGCAGCTCAGGCTAGCCTACCAGCCTAATATTGAAGTAGTTGTCCTGACTCTTGTCTACTAAGCACTGGGATTACAGGTGTGCAACTTCGTCCTTGGCTGCTCTCTCTCTCTCTCTCTCTCTCTCTCTCTCTCTCTCTCTCTCTCTCTCTCTCTCCCCTCACATCCCTTCCTCCCTCTCTCCCTCTCTCTCTCTAGGTCTCATAGATAACCCAGGCTGGCTTTGACAGGCATGCACCATCATGCATGGTTTATGCTGTGCTGGGAATTGAACCAAGACTTTGTGCATGCTAGCCAAGCATTCTACCCACTGAACCACACCCCAGCTCTTACCTGGTCATTTGAAAAATATTTTATGTGTTTATGCATGTATGTCTGTGTACTTTATGCATGCTTGGTGCCCAAGGAGGCCAGGAGAAGGCATTTGATCCCCTGCAACTGGAGTTAAAAACAGTTGTGACCTGCCATGTGGGTGCTGGGAATTGAACCCCAGGTCCTCTAGAAGAACAGCAAGTGCTCTTAGCCACCGAGACACCTCTACAGCCCCTGGTCTGGTCCCTTTTTTGTTTGTTTGTTTTTTGAGACAGGGTTTCCCTCATGTAGACCTGCCTCTACCTCCCAAGTATTGGGATTAAAGGCATGTGCCACCACACCCAGCCCTCTGGTCATTATTTAAATTTAGCCAAATGAAGCTGAAAGTGAGCCTGAGGCAGAACACAGTTGCTGGCAGGATGGTGACGCAAGGGACTGGGGTACTGCCATCTTAGCACTGGCTCCTTCCCCTCGGTACCTGGTTTCTGTTTTCCAGCCGAGGGAAACACAGAACTTCTAGGCTGCATAGCCTTATGAGCTAGCATGCTGGCAGGAGAAAGAGGGACTCCTCCAGGGATCTCCAGCCCATTTTACAGAGAAGCGTTCAGACTGTACCATGAATCAGATGGGCCTACGTTCATGCCAGCTCTCCCATTGGAGGGCTGTCTGCCCATGAGTAAGTCACTCAGGCATGAACGTGTACAGACTTGGGTCTGGGTCCCCACTCCATGTGTCACTGTGCACCATGACCTCTCTGACTTTCGTTTTCTCTCCTGTCACAGATGGCTGTGGGATAGAGACAGTATTTGGAAGTGCCTGGCACTCAGGGTGAAGAGTGTTTGGCCTCTCACTTGCCTGAAGCAATCCCTCAATGCCTCAGTCATTCCAGCCAGCATGTCCTACTCCCTCGGTTCAGAAGACAGAGTCAGTGATTTGGCCAGGGCTGCAGTCGTTTGCTGGTAGGGCTCCTGAGAGCCAACTGCATTCATCCAACTCCCTGTTCGCTCGTCCGGAATCACCAATATGCATTTAAAGAGTCACAGATCTTCAGTCACAGCTCGCTCCCCCTGTCCCTCCAGAGAATCAGGTACTAAGTGCATATCAGCACACCACAACTCTTAGTGTGTTCTGTCAAGCTGCCTGGAGCCCGAGAGGGTCAGGCAGGACAATCCAGGTTAAGTCACATTCAGTTTACTGCCTCAGGCTCTACCACACTTCAGTTGACCGGGCTGCCTTCCTCATCCAGTATCTGAGAGCTATGTGCTTGCTGACCCCTGCCTCTCAACAGACCCTGAGAGAGTCTGCATGGTGTGGGGAGTGCTGGAGAAAACTTCCTCCCTAGTGGAAGGGATGTAGAGGAAGAAACAACCCCTCTTTTGGGACATTTTCATGTGTATACATATGTCAGCATTGCAGAAGTTATTATGCTACACGCTCAGATCCTTTTTGGCCAAATGACCTGTCATTTTTAGCTCTGAGGGTACAGACTCAGAAGCCAATGTGAGGAGGGGGAACAAGGGAGGAACTCCAAGGGAATAGTGGGAGGCACAGAAGTAAGCGGAAAGCAGAAGGTGAGGGCAGGACTGTGCCTCAGCAGACAGTGGCAGAGGAACCAGGAGATGCTCACAGCTGGAACCTGCCCAAAGCCACCCATAAAGAAAGCAAGCCTGGGGTTGGGGATTTAGCTCAGTGGTAGAGCGCTTGCCTAGCAAATGCAAGGCCCTGGGTTCAGTCCTCAGCTCTGGAAAAAAAAAAAAAAAAAAAAAAAAAAAAAAAAAAAGCAAGGAAACCTAAGAGGTCCTGCATCAGTAATGGAGCGGACTGGTAACTTGAAGTCTTCCCACAGGAAGCCCGGAGCTTTCGAGGCTCACAGCTCCTGACAACACATAGCTCAGCCACAGATCTTTCCTCCCAGGGTCCAGAAAAGAAGGGCCATTCTCAATTTACCCCCTGAAGCCAGTGTCCCCTGATACCAGAACCTGACAAGAATGATGTAGGAAGGCAGGGTTATCCGCCCAAACCACCGGCCAAAAGGGACACAAGAGAGGACTGGGCAGGCCGACTCAGCTGGAAAAGCACTTGCTGCGCAAGCACGGGAATCAGATTCCAGATCCCCAGGAGCGCTCTGTGGTGGCGGAGACAGGAGGGTCTCCGGCTGCCCAGCCTAATCCAATCAGTCTCACAAAACAAGATGGAGAGCGATTGAGGAACACACCCGACCTTGACCTCTGCCATCTACGTGAACATACACACACATGTGCTCACATATGCATACACACACACACACACACACACACACACACACACACACACACGTCTTTAAAAAACTTGATTGTATAGGAGAAATGCTATTAGAAATTATAAAAGAACTTCACAACGTTGTGTCCATGTCCAGTTTTTACTAAGCTAAGAGCCAGGAGACAGAGCTGAACGGAGTAGAGCTGGATGAACGCCCTGGTGTACTGCTGCAAGGGTGGAGCCCAAGCCAGGCATGGTGGTGCAAAGCTTCAGGATTGATGTGAGTTCAAGGCCAGCCTGGGCTACGGAGGGTGCCCTTGGGTTTTGTTTTTGTTTTAATGCTGGCAGGTTGGCTCTGCTGGTAAAGGCATTTGTTGCCAAGCCTGATAGTCTAAGTTGGAACCAGGGAACCCAAATGGTGGAAGGAGAGAACCAACTCCCACGAGTTGCCTCTGACGTCCACACATGCCTCACGGCACACATGTCCACCCACCCACATGTCTTACACACACACACACACACACACACACACACACACACACTAATAATCTCATTTAATAAAACGAAAACCAAGTCCCTCTCAGAGCCACATCCCCAGAGTGACATCTACCAAAGGCCAGACCTGGTTCGGGAATGGGGGTCCCTGCCTGCCCTGGGCTCTACCAGAGTAGAGAGCAGGCTGGGGAGGGTGGGGACCCCTTCATGGCTTCACCCCTCTCTGGCCCTTAGCTATTGTCTCAGCACCTCCTGAGGGTGGATTCCATATCTGCAAAGCAGAGACACCCTCTGGTAGCCGGCCCTGCTTCGGCTCCGCCATGACAGGCACTTCAGTGCTGATCTCCCCTCGGCCTCTTGTCTTTTTTCTCATTTTCAGAAGGAAAGACTCTGATGGAGAGGCCTCTCCTCCCCTTGCTCATCTGCCATTTTTCACTAGTGATTGATGCCGAACAAACCACTCCAGATCTGGTGGCTGGGACATCCCCTCTTTTTTTTTTGTTTTGTTTTGTTTTGTTTTGTTTTTTGAGACAGGGTTTCTCTGTGTAGCTTTGCGCCTTTCTTGGAACTCACTTGGTAGCCCAGGCTGGCCTCGAACTCACAGAGATCCGCCTGGCTCTGCCTCCCGAGTGCTGGGATTAAAGGCGTGCGCCACCACCGCCCGGCCCTGTGATGCTACATAGAGCCTCCTCAGTCACTGTCTAGGCCCACCCAGACCCAGGTGAAAGAAACCCAGGCTAGAGTTCCTAATAGGAGAAGAGGTAGGAATCTCGGTGTGGGTGGAGGGACAATAGGGCTTGCTCTCCTGAACCCCCAGCTCACCCTTTTCGGTCATTCTCCTTTCTACAGAGGTGACCTGCCACAGTGCATTGTCACCTTGACCTCAGTGGTCATTTGGAGATGGGCCTATGGCCCAACCAGCCTCAGCCAGTCTGACCAGCCCAGCTTCCCAGCCTGGGGTGGTCAACCTGCAGCAGGGACAACATGGCCAGGCTGGTAAGGGCCCTTCTTGGTGTGTTAATGTCTGCTTTCCAGAGGAAGAGAAGGAGAGAGCGCCCCCTGGTGTCTTCTGTTACAAGGGCACTAATCTCATCCTGAGGGCCCTACCTCATGGCCTCACCTGACCTTTTTACATCCCCCGATTCCAAATTTGTACCTGCATTTCCATTTATCACCTGGTATGTGGGTCTAACCTGGGGTTCTCCAGCCTAGCTGCCTCCCAGCCCTTGTGGCAAGCTGAATACAGCCTCCTGAACCCCCAGGGGAAACTTGGTAGTGGAAAGGGATTCTTGGGTTTTGTGTTTAAGTTTTTGTTGTTGAGCTTTTGTTCTGTTTTGTTCTATTTTTTTTTTCCCCTTGAAGCAGGGCCTGATGAAGCCCAGGCTGTCCTCAAACTCATTATGTATCTGAAGCCTTGAACTCCTGATCCTTCTGCCTCTACTTGGCCAAATACTGGGCTTACAGCTGTGCGCTACCACACCTGGTTTTTACTTATCATCATTGTGTATGTGTGCATGGTAAGCGAGTATGGGTATATGTGTGCCATAGTGTACATATGGAAGTTGTTAGGTTTCAAACCAGGGACACATGGCTAGCTGAGGTACCTACTTAACATACCAAAATGGACCCAGCTGCCAGGTTCTGCCAGCCTCCCTCAGTCCTTACCTGTTACAGGATATGGCTGGTATATCCTGCCCACTACCATAAACTTCTCCAGCCCAGGGGCTGGGCTGCCCTTCCCTATGTAATGCAGCCATTTTGGAAGACTGGTTGCTGGTCTCCTGGTTGTCCCCTCTCCTCTTCTCCTGGCCTCACATGGACTGGCTCAGGGTCATGTCTACTCTGGACTCTCTTAGAGGTCTCTGCCTCTGGCTATGCTCTCTCTCATAGCTACAGTAAACCTTCTCCTTCACCGTACTTAGGAGCATCATGTCCTTTTTTTGTAATTTCCTTTTTCATGCAGAGATCAGAGGATAACTTTTGAGAATTAGCGCTCTCTTTCTCCCATGGGACCAAACTCAGGTCATTGGAATGGCACAGCAAGAACTGTTACTCACTGAGACATCTCCACAGACCTGGAATCTGTTGTCGTTTGAAGAATATGTTCCTGATATTTGGGAAACATCAACTGAGGGAAAATTCAGGACTCACTGGGGTCCCCCAGCCACAGACACTCCAAAGCCAGGGCCATCTCTGCCTCCTGGATCTTCTGAGTGCTTGGCTAACAAGGCCCCTGTCACCAAGCTGACATCCAAGTGACCTCAGCTGTGTCCGAGTCCCTTCTCAAGACACAAAAACCTTTAAAGTCAAAATCGAGTGCAGCGTCCAGGCCCGTTCTGCTGCTTAAAGACGGGGTGCTCCCTCGGCTAGCAGCTGTGAGCTGCTTATGACACTTGACATTTGACCTTCTGGGGGGGGTCAGCCTTTATGTAGCCACACTCACCTGACAAAGCAGAGACAGTAGGTGTCCAAGGCTTGGTGATTGGCCTTCACCTAGTATAGGAGTAACGTGCAGGGCTTGCCTTTTTTTTTTTTTTTTAACTTTTTTTATGTGTGTGTGTGCTTTGTCTGCATGTATATCTGTGTACCACATGCATGTCTGATGTCCAGAAGAGGGCATCGGATCCCTTGGAACTGGAGTTACAGACATTTGTGAGTTACTGTGTGTGTGCTGGGAATTGAACCCAGGTTCTCTGGTAGAACAGCCAGTGCTCATGTTTTGTTTTTGTTGGTTTCTTAGACAGGGTTTCTTTATGTAACCTTGGTTGTCCTAGAACCAGCTCTGTAGACAACTCACAGAGATCCACCTGCCTCTGTCTCCCGAGTGCTAGGATTAAAGGCGTGCACCACCACTGCCTGGCTCAACAGCCAGTCCTCTTAACCACCGAGCCAGCTCTCCAATCTCTTGCCTTTTATTTTTATTTATTTACTTACCCAGGCTCGCCTCGAACTCACAGAGATCCTCCTGCCTCTGCCCCCCCGCCCCCCAGTGCTGGAATTAAAGGCGTGCGCCACCACCACCGGGCTTACGTACTTATTTTTAAGATGGGGTCAAAATGTATATTAGAGGATGACCTTGAACTTCTGATCCTTCTGTCTAGTGCTAGGATATGGTGTGTGCCACTGCATCTGTGTGGTGCTGGGGATGGAACCCAGGGCTTGTGCATGTTGAGCAAGCACTCTACCTAGAGGCCTTTTCTCCCAAATCTTTCCCCCCTTTCTCTGAGCTTCCAGCTGCTCCTCCCTATGCTCTCAGACTCCGCACCAGGCAGCTCTGCCCTCATCTCCCTGGAACTGATTCCCTAGCTGTCCTTTGCAGTCCAGAACTCTAACATCCCAGGAGCTTGTGCTGAGCCGTGGAAAGGTCCTCCTTAGGAAGCCAGTGGGACACCGGGCCAGCACATTGAACCTTCAGGTTGGGCTGCAACACCCTTGCCCCGCTCAAGGCGGTCTCCTCTGATCTGTCAGCTGCATCCCTGAAAGTCAGCTCTGGCTGCTTCAGAAGGAAAAGACCCAGGCAGCCAGGGCAGAGCCTGAGCTGATCTCTCAGGCCAAGACCTCACTCCCGCTTCCCTGCTGTGGCACAGGCCACCAAGAACCTGCCAGCAGAGCCCACCTCACTCACATCACCCTGGCCGATCTAGAAATTATTTATAGACCTGAACGCCACAGAAACCATTGTCTGCTGTTGCCATGGCAACAGGGATATGAGATGCAGCAGGCTCCCAGGGACTGGTGGAGGCCTTGATGATGGTCGATTTCTACCCAGGAGGCCTGGGCTCATAGCCACCATCAGAGAGGCCTGGGGTGTAACTCCCCCAACACCCTCAGGTATTGAGGGCCTGTTAGTTGTTGGATTTTGTTTATATCTATCCATGAAACCGTCTAGAACTGAATTAGGTTAGCCAGGCACAGGAAGAACAAGGGGCAAACTCAGCCAGCTGTGGTGGTGCACGCCTATAATCCAGCATTCAGGAGGCAGAGGCAGGTAGATCTCTGTCAGTTCCAGGCTAGTCTGGTCT